ATTCATAACAAAATGGAGCTAACCGCATGTTAATAGCTTTTGTTGAACTCGAGATATGAATAAAAACTCATAAACATAAGTAAGTATAGTATGGACACACCCTGTATAATAAATAACATTAAAAAATAAGTCAGTAGGTATTTTCAAATTTTTTATAGCAGAAGAATATTAATGTTGATACCTATTTTGTAAAAAATAGTTTTTTCGAAACTAAGTAGGCTACGACAATGAATTTGACGGGGAGTTCATATTGTTTATTTATTGACAGCAGTCAAAATATTGTTAAGAAGTGCTATATTATAATTCGAATTAAGGATTGCACTTTTTTCAATAGATATTAATATTGGTAATATTAGTAATTAATTATCAGTACAAATAATTCGTGATGAGTACCTATATCAAATTGTATGATATGATTGGAGTTTATTTCGAATGTCACCAAAATCTTTTTGCCTTTCGAAAGAAAGGCAAAAAGATTAAGAGAAAACTGGTAGTTTTTCTCGTCCTTGTTTTAAACGACGTAGTAGAGTTATGACCGAAGATAATTCAATCAATGTTCTTGCTTTAATTCAACAGAATCCACATATAAGTAGTCCGAATAGTCCGAAATCTCTACTTCTTTGCCACAATATCTCCTGCCAGGATATCTTAGAGAATATATACGTGAGGCAATAGCGCCATCTTGGTGATATTCGAAATAAACTCCATCATATCATACAATTTGATATACTCATCACGAATTATTAGTACTGATAATTAATTACTAATATTACCAATATTAATATCTATTGAAAAAAATGCAATTTTCAATTCGAATTATAATACATATAACACTTCTTAACAATATTTTGACTGCTATCAATAAATAAACAATATGAACTCCCTGTCAAATTCATTGTCGTAGCCTACTTCGTTTCGAAAAAACAATTTTTAATCATATGAAATAACAATGGTCAAAATAGGTATCAACATTAAGAGTTTTCTGCTATAAAAAATTTTGAAAGTACCTACTGACTTATTTTTTAATATATTTTATAATACAGGGTGTGTCAATACTATACTTACTTATGTTTATGCGTTTTTATTCATATCTCGAGTTCGATAAGAGCTATTAACACGCGGTTTGCGCCATTTTGTTACGAATTTAATCCAGTTCCATTATAATTTACAATAAATAGGTGTTTCCATTAAAAAGTTTGAAGAAAAACAAATTTTAATTTTTTCTATTCGAAAGTACCCCCTACCTACGACAATTAAAACTAAATGCAATTATTTTATAGCAGATGTAAATTAATTCATTCATACTCTTTCTAATGACACTAATTTTGTTAAAATCGGTTGATCCAAACCAAAGTTATAGGTATTTATCCACAAATACTTTCCCACTCTCCCCCACCCTTTATTTGAAAAAATAAAAAAAAGTACTTGAACAACTTTGTGCAGAATTTTATGCCTCTTTCTAGTTTACTTATTTAACACTTGGTATAATTGGACATATTTCCCAAAAAAACTGGTTTACAAATTTTCTTCGCTGGTTACGCCCCTAGCGGTTAATCCAGAATCTTGAAAGTTATTTCCAGCGATTTCTCTTGGCCACTTTTACTAAGTAATTTTTTCTCTCAAAGTTATAACATGAATACTTTCTGATATATAGCCGAGAGATCGGCTTATTGGACCACCCGGTACAGTTCTAATTAAGTTCTTCCAATTAACAATCTGAGATTATGCAAATGATTCGGCACTAATATGAGAAACATGTCCAAATCTACAAGATATTTTTTTACACTTGTAATAACAAGCATAGTGCGTTGCAAATTCTAAGAGATAGAAAAATTCAAAACTTTATACAGTCTAACTTCCCGGTAACTGTCGCTTGCTATTTAATACCGATTAAAGAATTAACGAGAGTCAACCTATCTTTTTCATGACATGAGATGTTTTAGTATTTGAATTTTTAGTTTCAAGGTTCAAGCAAAATGGAAATGCATTAGTATTTGTATTTTTCACAAATGTTTAATATTATTTTTGTTAAATTCTACATCGTGAAACTGATTATATGTATTTTCATTAATTTCTGGAGCAGTCTACACAATGTTTCGCAAGTTTACGTATATTTCGGACGTTCAGTAGCAAAGGTACTTAAATATTTTGACAAAACAACATTTTGATTTTTTACACGTAGGTTTTGCTGAAACTATTCGCGCTGTATTTGCAAACCTCAAACACAGCGCATAGAAAATGACGAATATTTCTTCGAAACGTCTACCAAACTTCCAGAAATATATAAAAACATTCTATTCCACTCAAGACTACTTCAAAGAATAAATTTTAATGAACAATCAGCAAAAAAGGTATTAATAAATAAATTATAACATTTTCAATCGACTCTTTAATTTTATTTATAATAATAAACCGATTATTCTTCTACTAGATAAAGATTTAACGAAAATATGTTTACCATTGGCGCTAAACAATGTTTATAACCTCAAAACTCAGTGGATTTTATTTGAATTAATAAAACTACTAGGACTTTCGAAATGTGAGATTATTTCTTGTTTGTACTATTAATATTGATGTTTACATCATTTGTAATTAGTGAAATACCACGGTATATCCAATAAACCGTAGCGATAGTCTGGGAACAGCCTAAAAAAAAAACATATAAGAACATCCAACCCATTCAGTCAGAGAATCCATAAGGAAATTAGAGCTGGAATCACGGATAAGAGAGGAAGCTTGGGTTGGAATAAACAGTTCATCATATAAATTATCATAAAGATAATGGAAGATATTTGATAAAATATTTTCATTTTGTTGTTTTGATTTACACAAGTTATGGCCAAATCAACACTATACGTGTGATTTTCTACTGACGTTGTTGCCGGTGCTACTAGATGCTCTCTAAAATTGCAAGTCATTTCAGCCTAAAGTTGATTGCAGGCAGTTTGGAGTATTAGAGATGCGTTTGGTGTTAAAAATAGAAAAATCTAGCCTCGGACATTGATAAAAATCCTTCGTAAAAGAAGCTTAAACAGATCCAAATTCATATGCGGATTGTAAATGTGCATTCATCTTTAATTTCCATCATAAAACATGGTCGGACAAGTTAAAACGTTTAAAATAAAGTCCAATATTTGTTTATTATCTTTATCTATTTCTTTAAAAGTACACTTTTCATACCTGGGAGAAAACGTTACAAATACTCGTTTAAAAATAAGAATTGTCTCCTTCGATAACCTTCGATAAGAAAATATATGTAGTTCGTTTTGAAAAAGAACTAAAAAGAGTTTTATTCTTTAAACTTATCATCAGATTTTTGCAAGTTCATAATTTTACTTGAAGCTAGTGTAAAACCGCATTGAAGGTAAAACTTTATAATCGATTCAAACTCTATTAATTTCCGGAAATAAGGAATAAATATTAGAATGCAGGGCATAAATAACTAATAGGATCTGTTGTCAGCAGGGCCATATAATGGTTTTCTAGCTTTTTAAACTCAGGATTACACAATATGATGACACGGGTACAGCATCCAATTTAGGACAATTATAAGATCATTTTAAAAATATTTTATATAGTCTCCATGAAATACATAACTTGTATATCTTACTGTAGTTTTATTGAATGTATTATCTATTAGAACTTTGATTGTTATAGAAAACGCCACTTATGGTGAGGTTACGTTAAGGCGCGGGAAAATTGCCACGATTTACTTAACTAATCTCGCCAGAAAGTTCCTTTTAAAACGTGTTTTAAAAGGATCTAACTTTTACATGTATATCTCAAAAATTAGTACTTATCACTTATCAATCGCAATTTTTTGAGTTTAAAGACATTTCAGTGGTTTCGGTAAATAACTAAAAAACATAATTTGGACCGTTCTGCATCCATTTTCAATCCACGAAACTTAATATTTCTCAATCAGAATAGGTTTATTTTGGAAAATAACAAGTGCATAAAATAAATAAACATTAACACAATATAAAGCGGTTCGTACAAACTTTGATAGTTTATTTTAACAAAGGACTATCAGTTGCAATAATGTAACTTCAGTTTTAAAACTTTAATCTCTTTATAACATACATTTTAGGGTTCCCATACATATAACTATGAATTTGTAAAACTTTACTTACAATTTATTCGTATCAATAAGCTAGGAAGTAAAATAAATGCTTGTTGAAAACACCTAAAGACAAGCCATGACTTATGTACGAGCTACCAAAAAAGAACAAACATATAATCGCATTTTCGTACCGCTCCAACCGAATGGTGTTTACACCGATCAAGATACGACACTGGTTAAAAATCTCACCTATCAGCCGCTTCTTTGCAACCTTTGAATCTATACTATAAAAAATTTCAATCGAAGGTGACTCATTAATTGAACGAAGAGCTAACGGCAACAATGTTATGCCAGAAGTAAATTCTTACCGGCACTTACGGGGTCATTTTTATTGTGTATGCTTCGATAATGTAAATAAGTGAAAAGTAAGATGGTTCCATAAAATTTGCCCCCATAACAACATACCTTCTGAATACCGGTGTGATTCACGACCGAATAGTTCGTTTAATACTTTGAAACATCGGTAAACTTAGCAACACTTCGTTGGTCTATATATTTACGTCCTTAGAAGGAGTGGAAATGAAAGAAATAGTTTATTCGTTCGGTTTCTTCATCCTCAAGCGTTCATATCTGCATAGGCGTGGTGTGTTCTGTTTCGTATGACTGTGACTTTGTTTTATATTTATTCAATAAACTTTAATATGTTTATCAACTTCAAAATAGTTTTTGAGGTAAGTAAACAACAGACAAATAGCAGAATAATATGATGGATGTTTATTCTTTTTATAGCATTAAAATTAATGCCGTAGCGGGTCCAAGTAATGTACAAAGAAAGCCGAAGTTTATGTCGGTCGAAGAAAAGCAGATTGTCTGTAGAGTGTATGAAAATTAATATAAAAATTACAATTCGTACCAGGTGAAGCTGTAGCTCAGTGGTCATTTTCAACGGGAGTATCCGTTGTCGCAATTAAATGCATTGCAGAACGAGCCGATTGGCACCGAAGCCACCAGAAATTAATTATACGCACTAATTATCTCATTCAAAAAATGAGCAAAAAGACGTTAAGGATAATAATAAAAGAAGATTTAAAATTTATATATGCCAAACGATCCGTATCTGTCTTAATAGAAATAGAAGATTTGGTCTCATGGAGACGATCTTCGCTTATGTTCGCTCTATTAAAGAGGTTTTTCTGTCCACAAAAATATTTATTATCTGAACGAAACGTGGGTGAATGTTGTTCACATATTATCTAAGCTCTGGAAAGATACTACTGTAACGACTTGTCGTTAAGCATTTATAATATAAATTTGGACATTAAATATTCCGTATATGCTTTTGCTTATACCAAAATGTATAAACAAGTTTATGAAACTACCAAAGTTTGACTGGCCTGCATAAATACCTTAACAAAACCGATTTATTTCTTTTTTCTTTCCTCAGGATCCACACTGTTCTTAATATTTGTTTTGGAATTTCGACTATTATCTTTCATTGTTTTGCTACTTTTTTGAATAACCGGTTTAGAAGAAACAGTAACCAAGGGCTGGGATACTGTCTTCTTAACATCAATGAAAAATCCATGGACAAACCTTATAATATTTGCTACTATTTGCTTTGGTGTTTCGTACTCGTTGGGTACAATTCCTTCCACGCTGGACTCAAAATAGGAAAAAAGTGGAAACCAAACTCTAAAAATAGATAAGTTGTTTATAATTTACGGTAATAAGTACATTAAACAACAACAATAAATGCAACAACAACTGTAAACCTTCGCTACATGACGGAGAAGAAAAAAATTGGTAGAAGGGTGCGACAGGGAGGTACTTTGTCGCCAAAACAATAAGTCATGGAATACGCATTTAAACAATTAAAGTGGAACTCAATGGGTATTAACATCGATGGACACAAGTTAAATCATCTCAGATATGCCGATAACATTGATCCCGTAACAAACGGCTAACAATTGTTAAATAAATAGATAATAATAAATAAATAAATAAATAATAGTAACCAGAGACAGTTAACAGCTCCTTCTCCTTCCATCGCTTCCGCGAGTTTTAAAGCCGGCTGATTTTAACGGCCACATTGTAAAGCTTTGTGAGCAATTCCGTTGAAAGGTAATCTCTTTCAAATTTGTCACAATAAAAGTATGTTCTTTGAAATGACGCTAATTATGTATATTAATTGTTATAAACAAAGCTGCTGCCAATTAAAAAAAAAGGGAATAACTTCGTCCCGACTTCGACTTTGTCCTAAGACAACTTTTTCTTTTTTAAAATTTGTAAAAAAATGCAAGAAATATGAAAAATAATTTTTGTGTAGGAAACAATTAAAAAGTTATTCTAATTGTTTATAAGCAAAAAATCGACCTGTTTTTGCAAAATAATTTTATCAAAAACATGATACATGGTCCCCGTGGAACTCTTAATCAAAATTCACCGTGTATGGTGGATGGTAAATGTTCAAAGCGATATCCACGGACATTAATATCTGAAACAATCACTGGTAATGACGGTTATCAACTGTATCGTCGCCGATCGATAGCAGACAATGGAAGATCAACAATTGCCAAATTAAATCAACAAGATAGTAAAATAGATAATCGCTGGATTGTTCCATATTCACCCATTTACATGTAACCAAAGGGAGTGATATGGCTGTGATTTGTATTAATGCAGAGAATTCCAATGATGAATTTACACAATACCAAATGGGTCGCTATGTTAGTAGTAATGAAGCAATTTGGCGAATGTTTTCTTTTTCTATTCATGAGAGACACCCTACTGTTGTTCATTTAGCTGTGCATTTAGAAAATGGACAAAGAGTATATTTTACAGCACAGAACGCAGTGCAAAGAGCTGCTCAGACCCCATCTACTACATTAACCAGTTTTTTGAGATATGATAAAACGATGCTTTTGCTCAAACATTGTTATATTCTGAAATGCCAAAATATTATACTTGGAATCAATCCTCAAGGAGATTTATACGACGGAAACAAGGAAAACTAGTTCCAGGATACCCAGATATATATTCTGCTATTGGTCGAATTTGTTCAATACATCCAAGCAATGATAAATGTTTTTATTTACGACTGTTATTAGTCAATGTACGTTGCCCAACATAATTCCAACATTTACGAACTGTTAATAGTGATTTGTGTGGATCGTACAGAGAAGCCTGCCAACGTTTGCAATTGCTAGAAAATGACGCTCATTGTAAACATGCAAAGTAACAAAACTCCACACATTTCGAAGAACTTTGCAATGGCAAAGGTTTTGGAGCAATGCAAATTGATTGTTTGGGATGAATGCACGATGGCACATAAAAAATCTTTGGAGGCTTTAGATAGAACCTTACAAGATCTATGGAGCAATCATAACCCATTTGGTGATGCAATGATTTTACTAGCAGGAGATTTTCGTCAAATATTGCCAGTGATTCCACAATCAACACCAGCTGTTGAACTCAATGCATGTTTAAACGTCCTCCAATTTGTGAAAACATGTCAAACATGTTAAGTATTACACTTAAAGCAAGAATATGCGTGTCGAGTTGCAAAATGACCAATCTGGAGACATATTCTCTAAACAGCTCATTGATATTGGTAATGGCAAATTTCCTATAGGCACCATGACTGGTTGCATTAACTTTCCTCAAAGTTTTTGTCAGAAGACTTTTTGATACCACGCATCCCAATGATTCCGACCGATGTAGCATTTGACTTTAAACGACTATAGTTTCCAGTGCGGTTTGCTTTTGCTATGACACATAAATAAGTCCCAGGGGCAATAATTAGGTGTTTGAGGTATTAATCTGAAAACTCATGTTTCTCACATGGTCAATTGTATGTTGCCTGTTCTCGTGTTGGAAAACCATCAGATTTGTATGTATATTCACCAGGTAATTAAACAAAAACATTGTAATTACTATTTAAATGGTAATAAGCCACAATTAAAGATACGTTTATTGACGTTTCAATTTCCACTTCAGAAATCGTTCTCAAAATACAAACATTAGTCAATTTACTAAAATAAGGTTTGGCTAAAAAAGAAAAACGTAGACTAACAAAAATAACGTTTTCATTAATCTAATTATAAACACATTATTTTAGAAGCATAATATTACCTAAGTCTTATTAAAGTTTTTGTTTTTTCAAATAAATGCGTAGTTTATATCCAAAATTTGTATTTTTATTCTTAAGGTGTCAAATACTAGTACATTTACCTTAAGTCCAAAAAATCGACTGCAGGAAACATATAGGTATAATTTTACACAGGTCCGTACTATTCAAAGCAACTGTCGTTTGCCTGGCCGGTTCAGTGTCACGAAAAAAAAACCTTATTTCCCTGGTCTACTAGAAAAAACTCTACATCTGCCTAAAATTACAATCAATTCACACATTCCACACAGAGACTGAGCCAGACGAAGCCTTAAACAATTGACTCGCAACGTTACTTGGAGTTTTATTGTTAAACATTGGCTTCCAACCTGCTGAGGGAGTTTCATTGATATCAAAAGGCAAATAATCGATTCAAAAACATTTGATCGATTCTGGTTAACCAATATTAACGTTAACTTACCTTGTTCTTGTTGAATCTCTTTGCATTAATGCCTGATTATTGGACAAAGTATGATAGTATAAAAATAGTCTGCTTGAAATGTAAAATGCTACAAAAACATCTATGGAATAATGCTCGTGAGCTGCTAATATAAAAAAGATGCCGAACATATTCATCATCCAAGAAAGAGTGTGAAGGTAATAAATGTACCTTGGAGTATCTAAAAAATAAACAGATAATAAACAAAACTGTCATCTGAATAGGGTGAGTGGAAGAGGAGTTATAACTAGTTCTGTCATTAAAGTGTAAATGCTCGTTGTACGGCTGATAATCTGAACGCGGCCAAAAGTTATGTTGATATTACTGGCTGTTGGCATGTACACTATACAAGGTCTGGCTATTAAATAACGAGACTGCGCGCGCAAAAGGCGTCCTAGAGGTGAAGAGTGGGAAACTAATGCAGCATTGGATAGCTGGAAGTGTCTACTCTTTCACTACGAAAACACGTTTTTGTCGCTGTAGTAGTATTTTTTCTGTAGAGGTTAGAAAAGAACGTGTTTTTTTCTCGTGCTGATAACAATGTGTGATGAAAAACATGAGCAACGGATTAATGTGAAATGTCTCATTAAATTAAAAAAAAAAAACTCGGACTGAGTGCTATAATTTGTTTAAAGAGGCCTATGGTGAAAATTCTCTATCTCGTGCATGTGTTTTCGAATGGTATAAACGGATTTATGAAGACCGAGAGAGCGCCGAAGATGACCAACGTCCAGGTTGACCTGTCTCTGTTTCAACTCTGCAAACAACGACCAAAATAAATGAAATTGTGCACGGAGATCGTTGTATGAGCATTCAGATGATTGTTGAAACTGTAAACGTCGATAAAGAAACTGTCAGAAAAATTTTACATGACGAATTGAACATGAAAAAAGTCAGTGCGAAGTTGGTCCCGAAAATTTGACCCTTGACCAAAAGCTCGCGCGTCAACAGATCTGCTCAGATTTTCTTGAGAGGTTACATGAAGAGCCTGAATTAATTGAAACCATCATCACTTGCGATGAAACCTGGATATTCAATTTCCATGTTGAAACTAAGCGACAATCCATGCACTGGAAAACTCCTGCATCACCAAAAATGAAAAAAGCAAGGATGTCGAAATCAAAATTTAAAACCGTGCCAATCGTTTTTTGCGACATTAACGGCATTGTGATGATTGAATGGGTTCCAGAGGGTCAAACTGTAAACCAAACTTACCATTTAAAAGTTTTGCAGCGTTGCGAGAGCGAGTTCGTAAGAAGCGGTCGGAGTTGTGGAAAAACATGCCGTGGATCTTGCACCAGGACAACACACCTGCCCATAACGCGCCGTCTGTGAGGTGTTATTTAGCCGCTAGTTACTCGCCTGATTTAGCACCCTGTGACTTTTTCCTCTTTCCGAAGATCAAGTCTGCTTTAAAAGGAATCCGGTTCGAGTCGATGGAAGAGGTGAAGCGAAAAACGGCGGAGCTCCTAAAAGCTCTAACAAAAGAAGACTTCCAGCATTGCTTTGACCAATGGAAAAAACGAATGAAACGGTGTGTGGCGAGGGAAGGGGAATATATTGAAGAAGAGCATTCGATTGTAGAATAATTTTTTAAAATAGAACTCTTTTTCATAAGAAGTCTCGTTATTTAATAGCCAGACCTCGTAAATCCGCAAAAACATTCAAGTCTAGTTTGAGCAACGTTATAAAGTTAGCGAAATGAATTTTTTATAATATATTTTTTACCTCCAATATATCAAAAATAATTCCTACACTACAAACTTGAGGATAATCCCTCTATTAAAAATTTCATTTGCGGATTTTCCGTTTTCGAGTTATAGGAAAATAAAAAATTGAGTTTCCGGCGCAGTGCTAAAAATATATATCCATTTTCTGGATATCAAAAGCTGTAACACGAACAAATAACCACATAATTTAATTGCTTCTCGTTTGCGGATCATGAATAAACTATTTTTAATTACAAATAATGATGAAAATTTTTCGAAGGAAAAGGATTTTTCCTTATGGGTCTAAACTATATGATAAAAAGTATTTTGTATTATATATATACCTATATATATATATATATATATATATATATATATATATATATATATATATATATATATATATATATACATATATACCCGGTTTTTTAGGCGTCACGCCCGTCCGGTAGGGATCTATGGAGGAGTATCACCGAGCCACAAGCCCTTATCTCTTGCCGTACTGCTCCACCATAGGCCGATCAGACACCAGCATATTCTAGCCTAAGCCGCAGATTCATCTAGAATTTTAAAACTGCTGCGTTAGACTTTTTGTTTTCTGTACACCGAGCTGGGGACCGAACTCACATCCACAAAACCATTCGCAGCGAAGCGAATGAGAAGCAGCCGCCCAGCTCGCTAGGCTATCTGACCGACATTTTATTATAACTAAAATAATTCCACTATACTTAAGGATAGTCCCTCCATTCAAAATTTCATTTGTGAATTTTCGATTTTCCAGTTATAAATAAGAAAATAAAAAATTTAATTTCGGAGCAGTTTTAACCCTTAAATGCCCAATCGGGGTCACTATGGGACCCCAGACATACATTTTTGGCTATAATATCTTTATTTGAAACATTTGGCAACCGCGCAATCAGGTATTTGTGTGGACGTGTCTCTTACGTTTTCTATTAGTATACCACGAACATTCGTGAGGTGCAGTGGTCTGTAAGAGAGATTTAGATAAGTGGGGTCTCGCTGTGACCCGATTGGGCATTTAGAGGCACCAGAATATTTTTATTATTTTTAACATTTTTCGTCAGTTTACATTGCAAAATGGACCGTAAGAGAATGAAAATGACAATAAGCGACCAAGAACATGAAAAAATTATCCGAAATATAGAAGAAGGGATATCAGACTCCGATTTCGACTATGAGATTACCGATGAATCAGATAGCGAAGAGCAAGATGTTTTTGAGGAAAATGTTTCGGAAACTGAGGACAATTTAGAAGTCAACAGTGACGAGGAATCAGATGCAGAACCTACCGAAGTGGACGATAATATTAGTGAGGTTAGTGGTCCAACATATACATCCAAATCTGGAATGCAGTGGAATAGCCTACCTTTCGTGAGATCCAAGAGGCAACAAAAAAATATTATAAATGTACATCCAGGCTTAACAAACTATAGTAAAAATTCCAACACGTTTTTAGACTATTTCAATTTATTTTTGACCGAAGAGATGAAGAATGTCATATGCCTTCATACTAATGAAGAAGCTGTTAGGCGTTATCAAGAGTGGAACGAAAAACATCCGAATAACAAAAAAGAGTGGACGGTACTTACCAACAATGAACTGGATAGCTTTTTAGGAGCACTTATCAAAGCTGGTGCTTTAAGGTGTGGGAAAGAATCGACACGAGAGATATGGTCTACAGACACCTCAATACGCCGGTCATTTTTTACAGCCGCATTAGCTAGGAACCGATTTGAAGAATTATCGAGTTTCTTGAGGTTTGATGACAAAGTGACCAGGGTGGAGCGGAAGGAACAGGATAAGTTAGCGGCGATACGAGTAATTTGGGACATGTTCGTCTCTAACTGTGACAAAGCCTTTGAACCGTTGACGAACAGTTAGTGAGTTTTAGAGGAAAGTGTCCTTTTAGACAATATATAAAATCAAAACCTTGCCGCTATGGGATAAAAATTTGGGCTGCCGCGGATGTTAAAACATCTTATTTATCAAAACTTCAGGTGTACCTTGGAAAACTACCAGGTGGTAGAATAGAGAAAAATCAGGGATTTCGTGTTGTGAAAGATCTGGTGGAACCATATCATGGCAGTTGGAGAGGAATTACAAATGACAACTTTTTTACCAGTGTTCCTCTTGCTCAATATCTTTTATCTAAAAACCTTACTTTACTTGGGACCGTCCGCAAAAATAAACCTGATACACCACCATAACTAAGTTTGACAAAAAGACCTGCGGAGTCGTCAATATTCGCTTTTACTAAAGAATTAGCTATGGTTTCGTACATACCTAAAATACACAGGATGGTACATCTTCTTTCAAGTCAACACGATAGTGATATAATTTGTCAAGACTCTCAAAACAAACCCTTGATGATTTTAGACTATAATAATACCAAGGGTGGTGTTGATAATGCCGACAAACTGATTAGGGAATATTCCTGTAAAAGAAGAACTGCTCGTTGGCCATTCAGGCTCTTTATGAATATTATAGACATATGTGCACTAAATGCCTATATTTTATACATTGAAAAAAATCCTGATTGGAAGAAAAATAATTTTTCACGAAGACGTATTTTCCTGTTACAATTAGGGGCTGAGCTTGCTCGAAACAACATGGAAAAAAGAGCGAAATATATAAAACATAAAGCCTATGTAAAATCTACTCTAAAAGATTGTGGCATACCAATGGTAAACCCAACTACCGAAGTTGCAACTCAATCCGTCCATTCAGCTAAGAAACGTGCTCGTTGTTACCAGTGTCCGCGAAACTGTGACAGAAAAGTGAATACCGTTTGCTCTTTTTGCAAAAAATTTATATGCCAGGTGCACAGAAAAGAAGAAAAAACTATTGTATGTAAAAATTGCAACTAAAATTTATATGCTTATATTATTATTTAATTTTAATTTTGTTCGAATTGAAAAGAATTTGTTTCTAGAAAAGCCGTTAATTTTGTATGAAAAATAAATAAAAATTATTCAAATATGCTTAAAATTATTTTTAACCGTGTTTTCCTTTTAGTCAGTGCTAAATGACGTTACTAAATTGAAAATTTTAGTGGGGTCCCTAGGAGACCCCACATGGGCATTTATGGTTATTTTCATATCACGGGCATTTAAGGGTTAAAAATATTTATCAAATTTCTTGGTATCAAATGCTGTAAAACCAATAAATAATCATATAATTCCTCCTCTTATGCACTACAACAACTACATCTATATTTATACTTACACTCGGTGATGAAAAAATTCAACATAGTTAAAGCTACTGTATGCCCACTAAACATGTAATCACCACATGTTCGCACACCTCTAATGGACATTCCGGCTCCCCTCCATATCACAAAAGCTTGTGATAATTTTCTCGCTAAATCTCCAAAAATCCCTTTGGCTTGTGTGGTATATAATTTTGGCTGACATTGTAGGTGAGATCCGGGAACACTTAGGGACGTTATGAGCATAGTAACACATCGCAAAAGGAAGACTGTTCCGGAAAGGGCAAAAAATCTTCGCATAAGAATAAATCTAGAATAAAAAGAAATGGATGACTAAATATACTTCCACAATATCATAATAATAAAATTAATTACAATTAATATTAGTGGAATGGAATCACCATATAAACGCAACGGATAGAACAATGGAACAGAGATTTTTTCCATTAGATCAAGATTAATACACTAGGTCAGGGGTTCCCATTTTTTTTTGGACTCGGAACCCTAATTGACGATATTTTTTTTTTGGCGGAACCCTAATTGGCGATAACATTTTTTTTGGCGGATCCCTATTTTGATAAATAAAGAAATTACCTTGTAGTTTGAATATTTTTCATGTAAGACTGTAAAAGAAGAAAGAAATTATGAATGAAAAATAATATAAGAAATACAAAAGATTTATTATACACAGATAAATAGAATTAAGTAAGTAACTATTGTCATGGAGTACCATAGTCTGAGAACTAGTACGCACTCCGATGCGCATCGCCCCGCCTCGAATTTTTTTATTGGCTGGTTAACCTGAAAATACCATATAAATAGTAAAACACTAAATATCGGTGATTTTCAGGCCAGCCAGGTCAGTCCTTCTCGGCCTCCTCTAGAGCATAGCGTTCTAGGGGCTCTGCGTATTATTTCCTAGATTCTGTGGCTGAGTTTCTTTTCAACTGTACCTGTTGTTTTATTTTAACCCTAGCAGTGGTTTATTTTACTTTGTCAAGACAAGGTAACATCAAGAGAGCGTACTTTGCGGTTTTTAAGGGTTTCACACCCACTTATTTTTCACAAAAAGACGACACTAGAACTATTTCATTGTAAACAATGAAATTTCTTTACACATTTTCTGATAATAGTATTAAAATTAGGCTTAATGTCTGACAATTGAATAAGAAGATCTGGAACTGCATCCAGCCTATTTCTAAACTTATTTTTGGTATAAGCGTAAGCTGAAAAACCAGTCTCGCATCGGTAAGTCGTCACAAAAAGAAGTAGAACCATGATAGCTTTCTCAACGATTGCGTATCTTTAAGTGCAATCCAAAAGTCATTCAGATTAGAATCTTCTTATTCAAATTTTTGTTTTAGAATGGATAAAAACTTAATGTCGATCAAATTCTCATACTCTGGCATAGTTAGCATCGATGGTTTGGTATGTTTTGTGAATGTATTCTGAACCCAGTCGATGTCCTGTAACTTCTCCGGGCAATAATCTTTCAAGGATATTTCCGAGGTTACTCCTAACTCAATTTCTTGAAGGAAGTTATTAAAAAAAGTAAACTAGTGACTAGGTACTGCTAATGCCCAATACTGAATGTCTGTAATATAAACGTATAATGTATATTTGTTGAAATAAGTAGGAGAGCAGACGTAAAGAGTTACACAGGTAATATAAAAGCTAAAAACACTGTATATTATCTACAAAAACGTTAATAAATTGAGCGCTCCATTAATTCTGACTCAACTTATCGACGTCATAAGTATACTCGAACATAGGTTTTTAGCTAACAAGCTTTTTACATATTTTTAAAATACTATTGGCAATAAAATTGAAATCTAAACTTAGAACTATTAATGAATTAATTGTTTTTAAAATAAATCAACAATATACTTATATGAGCTGAACATTTATCCGTTTTAACGTCAGTATTATGGACTTTGCATAGATGTTGTCATCCATATGCAAATATTAGTCCTTTTTAAAAGCTTTTTTACAACCGATTAATTGAAAATATCGGTAAACATATTTGTGAAAATAAAATATTACCATAAAACACAAATTAATAAAATTAACCCTGCCAATAATGTATTTAACAAGATTTGCAAAATTGTAGCTTATTGAAAATATTTACATTCAAGCAGAAGAATGGAGCATAACAAATAAAGTAAAAAAGGAAAGAAAGCTCCCGATATATGAAACCGTTATGCTATGGAAGAAAAATTTAGTACAAATTAAAAAAAAGTAACATTGATTTAAAAAAGTGACTGTCTTGGCCCCTAAGGGTCGTAGGACCTCTTTTTTTATGTAAATTATTTTTTTAACCAGCTTTCCGAATATGTTTTTCCGAGTTATTGTAATTATTTTTACGCTTAAAAAAAATGCTATTTATTATTAAATCATTTTGTGTACAAAATGTAATTTTTTAAAACTTTTTTTCCATAAGTTCTTAGTATATGTTTTAACGAATAAAATAAGCCCGGATTATTGAAATCCATTCAGTCAAATTATCTGGAGCAACCTTAGAAATTAGATCATTTTTAAAAAAATCTTATACAAATTAAATTTTTTAAAACTACTTAACCGAGCTGGTTCATGTTTTGCACACAATTCAAATACAATAAGACCCTCAAGTTCAAGTACATTCAAACAAATTTTAATAAAAAATAAAAAAGTTCGTATCAATTGATAGTAATCAGGTTGATAAACAGTCTTTTGTTAAATGAAGGTATACCCTGTAATTTTACGTTTATTCTTTTAGATTCATTTAGATTAGTTAGGTTGTAACTTTTTTATATACTTAGTTCATATGAACCGGAAATATCGAAGCGTTACAGAACACAAAATATTGTATATTCTTTTAAAGTTGTGAATATTCTTTATATAATATTTATTAACTGTTTAAATTCATATTTAAAATACACTTCATTGCATTAACAATTTTAAATACGCTATTTAATATAGTGCTGATAGCAGAGCCACTTCAGTATCAGCGCTTTTCGGTGCAGGAATAAAACTGAGGGCAAAAATTCAATGCGATTTGTTTTTGCTGATTTTAAAGTCACTTAACACTGAACACTGAAGCAATACAACTTACTGCAATAGTAATCTCATTGTTACGTTTCATAAAAATGAAAATATGTATACTACCCTCAAACCTATTTAATATTGAACCGCTTGTACTAATATGTCTGTTAGTGTTCCAGTACATCGTCGTGATTTGAACTCTTTTCTAGTCCTATTTAATATCTTGATTAAGTTCTCTTCCTTTAATAATTAAACTTCTAAAAATCGTTTTTTCATTCTAATTACGAATTTTTTCATATAGGTTTAGTAGATACTTCTCTTGAGTTCTTTTTTTGTATATTGAGTTTTGTTGGAATTTCTTTTATCATCGTACCAATCATTACACAATGCATAAATTTCTGTTGCATACCATTAAAGGTCTTCGCATTACAAATTATTGCCCTTATTCTAGCACCCACCAAAAAGTGGGCCAAATCTATGTTGGACCCGCGATATGAGATTAAAAACTTGTCTGGTTTCTACAGGACTGTAACTACCAGACTACAACCTACCAGACAGAGAGGCAAAAAGTCCCGAGTGTCTCAGCAGCTAAAAGATCGACTGGTTACATGTTCACGACGGTATTAAGTTTGTCAGTAACATTTACTGACGTTACCAGATCCCCGTATCTGGTAACACTGTCTACTGTTCGGACGATACCAGACCTATGGGTCTGGTAAACATATTTATAGATAAACGGTTTCTGTGATTTTGTATTTGAAATTACCTTGAATTTAACACTGCTATCTCATAGTAAACATCGGATCTGGTACTGTGAATGGAGCTTAAAATAGTAGTTGTCAATAAAACCAACATGTTTACTCCACAACTTCAACGTTTTATTGTATCGTTGTAACAATCATTGTTGATCGAGAAGAAGCGGACAAAGGGGCATTATAAAACGATTCGATCCTTATAACTACGTTCGAATTTGTCCATACATGAAACTTATGTAGTAATGCAAATAAAAAATCCTTACCTGTGCTTATGAAAAATTAATACGATTAACCACATTGTAAACAAAACAGTTCCTGTAATTTCGCACATATCGAATGCCCATGGAATTAAAGGGACATTATCTAAAAATATGTCTGGAAGAGGTGGATACTTTTCCATATCAGGTACTCTGTCATGTACTATTACCATAACGAAAGCTGTAATCCAAGTAACTGCTACAACATACATAAAGCTAAGGAAGGCTTTTCTTTTTTCTGGAGGATATCTGGGTCTACCATCTTCTGATAATGGTGGTGATATTCTTTCCGAATCTCCATATTCACTTTCAACTTTACTGTAAAACAAAAATTGACTTTATTACTCAGGTTCATTTTTCAAATTAAAATGTTTTCATGCTTTTTAAAACTTTTGTGAGTACTATTTAAATATACCTTGCTATTTATAGAAACAATTTAGTCATATTTGATATAGTCATGCAGAACACGCTTGATTTGGCTAGGTTTGTTTAATATAATTATAGAAGTAGGACAAATGCAAGATGAATGAAAGATTACTCAGTAGTATCTTAATAGAAACAACAACCTTAAAATAGTTACTTAAAGAAACTGAAACATTTCCTAGATTACTTTGAATCTGTGCAAGACAATTGAGACAGATGCAATTTTTATTATAATGCAGTTAATGGAACAATATAGAAATAAAACAGCAAATTGTCTTTTGTGCTTCTAGACTGTAGTCTGATATTATTTGTTTCTGAAGTTTTGTCTGCAAAGGTAGGCATTATCAAAGGCAATGCAGTAACGGTCATATATCTTCAGCTAACTGATAATGCTTCGTAAATAGTTGCCTATTTATAATCTGAGTGTGTCTCCCAGGTACTATCAGTTAATCTGATTCCGAAGTGGAGTTCTGTATGTGTCTGAGGAAAGGATTTGTTAATTCGGAAACGCTAAAATTCATACATTCCTATAATTCATAGCAATACAAAATCAAGGATAAAAGAAAATTAAATCAGTGATAAAAGGTATGAAAGATAACAAAATATATGGAGAAGATGGTATTGTAAGAAATGGTAAAACTAGGAAGTGAACAGAATAAATAATATAGAATAAATAGAATAAAAGTCTCAAAAACTTTTTGTACTGACTGCCTCTTTAAAGAAATTCTACCAGAAAAATGGAATAATGTCGTTATGATCATATTGCATAAAAAAGAGATGTAACAGAAATTGGAAACTACAGACCTATCAGCTTGTTATCCCATTTATATATAAGCTCTATATGAGAATCCATACTAACAGACTAGGACCTTAGCTTTTCACCGCCCACTAGAGAAAGTCAATGAACTATTAAATTTTTACTTTAAAGTAAAATTTCAACACTAATTTTTACTCTCTGTGGTAAAATTTTACTCTCTTTATCCCATGGTAAGAAAAATTGAAACCTAATAAGCATTTTTGTGTTGTTAAATGTGATTTACTTGAATTTACTAATTCTAGTTACTAATAAACAAAATCAACTTATACTAATGAGTTCTTCATGGAATGTAGCAATATTTTTAAATACCGCATTTCAGGAATAGAATGGTTAAAAAAAGACAAGCATTATAAAAGAGCTTTCATACATCCTATTATAAATTAAAATAGCTAACGACATCTCCATTAAATGTTTATTTGCTAATTACCAGCTTAATTACATAACCTCTCAGGCATCTCCCTAAACTGAGATGTGATAAATACTGTGATAATGCAGGTCCTATAGTAAAGTACTAAATTATTGAAGTCCCCCTACATTTGCACACAAAAACAAACAAACAACATGCATTTAAGCTAAATATTCATCATTGTTTTTCCCACAGTAGTGTTTATGTATTATAAATGAGAGCAGATGTATAAATAATCATCAAATGGTTTTGAGTCTCAGTGACAAGGAAGATAGGCGGAGATACTGTGAAGCTACAAAAAACTGTTCTCTAATTGTTCTACTATTGGCCATTCCCATAAATCAGGAGAGAAACTATACAAGCACCTAAATATCTATCTTTAAAGTAGGATAGATCAACTTTTCCAATGAGGTACTTACTCCGAACCAGAGAATAAAATTCTATGTTAAAATCTAACGTTATAATTTTTAAACTAAAAAATAGTAGCTAAAAAAATAGTAGCTAAAAAAAAATAAGCTAATAACTGAATATAAAACAAAAGAATACCAAATAACACAAAACATAAAGGACCTAAGAAATCATATTGTGATGAACAGAAATTTAAAGAAAAAATCGGTATCTCCTTACATGGTCCATTCGTCAGAGAGTTGACCCCTAAAAATCATACGAACAAGCTAAATTTTGCCAATAATATTAATTTTGGGACCCAAAAAAGATGCAAGAAAGTTTACCACTTTTACCCAATGACAAGAAAGACTTTTCTCTTCTATTCCACCCACCCAGCTTGCCTATTTTGAGAATCTGTTTACTTCAGATGATGGCTCCAGACATAGGGCCAATACAGTTAGATTTTAATATTGAAGATGAGTAAAAAACTATGTAAATAAAGCATTGTTAACTACAATATTAAATGAATTTTAAACAAACTGGTTACATTTTTAGCAAACCTTTTCTAACATGTTTACGAAAAAAAAAAAGTTTAACATTATATTGCTGATTTTTTTTAAACAATATTAAATGTACCTAAATAAATTTTAAATAAAATGGTTATATTTTTATTAATAATAACTCAAACAAACCTTTGTTAATACATTTTCGAAAAAAAAAAAACTTACAATATTATAGTTATTGCTGATTTTTTATAACAATTCCAGTAAAACATTACATAACTCAAAACAATGTTAATGTGAGTTACACTACTTGTGCTTTAAGGGGCTCATTTATAAAAGTATTGAATGATAGAGGATATTAATGACACTAAGAACAGTGTGGATATTACCAAGAATTTTTATACAGTTTATATGTATCCTGATAGAAGCCACATTATTTTTATTACAATTAAGTAAGTATTGCTAAGTATTAAAAAATTGCAAAATATGGAAAACATGTTGTACTAAATGCTAAGCAGGTATTTGTTTCTTTATTTATATTTCCTGTTTGTGACAAAAATATTCCTTTGTTACAAGATAATAAAATAAGATAATGGGAAAATATTTTTTTTTACTCATGTGTCCTAATATACAATATATCTGCACAATTAACTTTTATTTATTTCATAGACACCATAATATTTACTACTCACATCTGAACAGAACCCAGACATACAAAATTTATCAGTTTAAATCTATATTTTAACATTTAAATGCAAATATTTGTATTTTTTTATATGCATCATTTTAACATAGGTAACTATTAATATGTAGCTGCATTGTGAAACTTTGCAGATATAATTCTGAGAGTTTCAAAAGTACTATAAAATTGAATTCTTAAATAGAAACATTTCACTTACCCATAAGTTTGGCAACTATATACATGATAATGTTGTTCTACAACACCAAGTTCTTGAAGGGAACTTTGATTTTCCCTTTGTAGGAGCTTGTAAGCTAAGAAAAGGCACTTTCTGTCTCTTAAGGTTAATTTATTTAAAGGGGCCTGGGTAAAATCATTGTCATTTAATAATAACAAACATTTTCCATCTACACCATTATCATCACATAACACTGTTATAGCCTCTTCAGACAAACCTTCCCTTTTTAAATAAAACTTGATTTGTTCTCTCGACCAATCCATCACTGAGGAAACAGTAGAACTAGCCATTTGAAATGTATTGTTTTGAACTGTTTATTACAAGAGCAAAGGTTCATGTTCAGTATTAGTCATTTTATTAGATATTGATAAGCTCATGTTTTGTTTCATTTGTGCTAAATGTGTTAAAACATTACCAGTTGCCACATATTTATAACCTAAAAAACTAATGTCACATTTTGTCATTTGGTTTTTATTTGATGTCAACTATTTATAAAACATTAGAAAACCAAGATATTTTGTAGTTTGATGTGCTATGATTCTGTGCTTTCTATAAAATAAAATAAATAAATAAATAAAAAGAAATAAAATAGAATTTTTTCAATACTTATAATTTCCTGTTTCCTACTCATACAATTGGTCCTTTAGATCTAAAATAAAATATTCTAAATAGCAAATAAGATCTAATGCCGACTCTGTGGAAAGAATGTTTGCCAAACGTCAAACTAATAAGTCATTGACTTTGACATTCTAAACACAATACCACAGAATAATAAACAATTTTACAATTGTTTATTATTCTGTGACAATACGGTCACCACAGATGTGACAGAACAGAATAGACTTGGCGTCTTCTGTTTTATTCTGTGCTGTGCATCGAGTTAGAATTCTGTGATACTGTTAAGAATAAGGTTAGGTTTCGATTTTGCTTATTTGTTTTAGTTGATCAACAAAGTCCGATATGTCTTCGGATTCGGGGTCCGATAACGAATCAAATAGAAGTTTAAGTCCTGTGAGAGGTCCGGCCCCAACGCCTGGTCATGGTTTAGAGAGGTCACCCTCAAATTCTCCAGCATTTGGAAAATCAAATGACATACGATCAAGTAGATCTCGATCAGGAACTCCTGGGTCCCACCCCAGTGGCTCGCCAAAATCACAAAGATCAGGTTCTGGAGATTCACACAGATCAGGTTCTCAAGCATCTAGAAGGTCAGGTTCACAAGCTTCCAATAGATCTGAATCACAGGCATCTAATAGATCCGGTTCCCAAGCATCTCACAGATCAGGATCACAAGTATCGCAAAGATCAGGTTCGCAACTTTCCCATACCTCGAAACGCTCAGGATCCCATATTTCTAGAAGATCAGGTTCTCCTAGCTCTAGAAGATCAGCTTCACAAGCATCTAATAGGGAAGGATCAGCTGTGTCTAACAGAAATGAATCAGCTGCATCAAATAGAGCTGAATCAGCTGTTTCTCATAGATCCGGATCAGCTGGCTCAAACAAATCAGTAGCTTCCAATAGGTCAGGCTCAGCCCATTCAAAAAGATCAGGCTCTAGTGGTTCTAAGAGGTCCGGTTCAGCATCTCCTACCTCAAAAAGATCAGGATCTGCTGCTTCTAATAAATCTGAAGGTTAGTAAACATATTTCCACATAGTTTATAACCAACACGTAATATTCTGTGTCGAAAGTGTAATTTATTTTGTTTTACTGGAAATTGTCCACAATTTTAGTTTAAAATATGTTTATTTTGACCTTTTTCATTTTTAAAGTTAAAATCAAATTTTCAATATAATCATATTTTAAACTAAAATCAAAGAATATAGACGCTTATAGAACAGTTCAAATGGGCGATTTGGTTATGGTTTATACTTCAAAACACATCTGGCAGTCAGCTTAAAACTATCATAAAAGATGTAGTTAGGGGAAAGTGGGAAAGTAGTATGAACTGAGCTATTTATTTAACTTTGCATCCACGATTAAAAAAATTTCCATTCTTTTTTTGTTTTTTTCACAATAAAATCTTTATTTTTAATATATTAAATTGTTAAAATTTTAATTTTGAAATTTAAAAAGGTATGATATTTACAATATTCAAAGCATTTATTTTTTACATTTTATAACTTTGAATTAAAAATTGGTTTGTTCTAACACAATGAAAAACCGTTACATAAATTTTTGTTATACTGGTTTTCTGCCCAAAAATTAACCAAATATTTTTTAAAAATTTCAAAATTTTTCAACCAAAAATTTAATTTTCTCAGGACTTTTCATTAAACTTTTTAGACAATTTTCCATTTACTCTTGTACAGTGTTTACCGACAAAATAAGGTTTTAAAATAAATATCATATAATGCATGCAACTATATTCTTTGTCAGTGAATGGGAGAGGCAAAGTGAGAAAAGATTCGTCTGCTGACCAGATGTACTTAAGAATACACTCTTGAATGGAAGTAGGTATATTTATTATATAATAAAATTTTAAAAGCATGTGAAGAACAATAATACTTGAAATAAAAATGTTTGAAATATAAATAGTTTGCAAACAGAAATAGTTATTTTAAAATTATTTTCTTCTAGGAAATATGAAATTAGGTGAAATGTATCAAATTAAATATATTCTGCAGAAAAAACAGTATTGTGTTTTACATTTTATGCTATTTTATATTGAAAACAAAGAAGAAGAAATTATTAAATTTAGAAAATTTGGAAATATTTAATTCTGGTGATTGATGACTTTATTGATTGAATTAATTTTATTTATAGTTAATAAGAAGAGAGTTTTAAGTATATTATTTGTAGATTTGTACATATTTAAATTAAAAATTTGAATCATAATATATTTTCTAAAAGGATTCATTTATTTAAAGTTAAAATATTATTATTTTCTTTAAAAATCTTATAAAACGCAAAAATTTAATCCTATTCTACGGCCATGCGGCATCTACATAAAAATATCTGTTGCATTTGTTGCCCCACTCTTTCATATTTTAAAAGCAATAATAGTGCTGGCATGGCCGCTCCCTATTGGTAAAATCTCTATCCACCTTCTCATTCTTTTTCATAACATGCGATCATCTTTTGCCGACTTTCAAAAATAACAGTAAAAGATTCTTCTATAAGCGTCTATATTCTTTGCTAAAATTGTGGCTTATTCCCAGTGAAAATAGTGAATTATATTAAAATTCCATAACAAAATAGCTTCAGAACAGAAAGTGTAGCTGTGAAGATCTTTCAGATCATAAATCAAAACATAGAATCAAATCATAGATCTTTCAGATCATAAATCAAACGAGTGAAGATGTAGGTGTTTGTCCTTACACCTTTGTGTCCCTCCCTGACCTGACACATAAGTGTCAGGAAGTGGTAAGAGACTCAAATTAAATCGAAACGCAACCGTCATTTATTTTGTTATTGTCCTTACTCGACGCAATGAGTACAAAAATGATAGTAATTTATATGGGTAAATTGTTGATGCATAGTGGAATTTTAATATTCTCAGCATCGCTCTGAATGGCTTGATTAAGCTTGGGTTAAACAGTTTACTTTAATTGCTATCGATATTTAACTTCATTGAAATCTTTCTTGATCCTTTAAATTATATCCACTTGTGACCACTGTTCACAAATCTTAATAGATCTTAAAATTATAGGAATGCTAATGTCAATGCAGCCTGATTGGTCACTAAGTACTATTGCTTCCTATGCGACTGGGGTAATAGGTACAAAGAACATCATTATGAAGTAGACCACTTTTTTGTAAGAACAAAGCTCCAAATTCTTTCAAAGTAATATTATCACCATTACCTATAATGTTGGGTTTGATATAAAATTTTATGAAAGCAGTCAATAAATCAGTAGAAGAATTTCAATATCTTAGGGAGAATTCTCCACAATTGAGGAAAATCAACCAAGAAATTTTTGTAGGTCCTCATATTTGTGAGTTATCTATAGAGTAGAGTAAATTTTTATTTGCATACATTTTTAAACATAATTGAGCAAATAACATCACATTATTAATTACAGATTAAAAAAAATATACATTAACATCACACATTTAATATATATTTACATTACAAATTAAATATGTTGATCAAGGAGAAGGATAGGCCAGGCACTCCACCACAGTATAGGGCTCAATGTCAACTAGGTGTTGAAAAACCTTTCTTTTAAAAGCTCTATAGTGTGTTTGCTGTTGAATGTCAGATGGTAGACTATTATAAAATTTAACACACACATACAAAGGACTTCTGTCTGATATAGACAACCTGTGAAGTGGCAAATTCAAATTAAGGCTTCTTGTATTATATTCATGATTGGGACGCAGGTGATAAAACAAAGAAATTTTTTTAAAAAGGAACATAATACATTCAGATATATAGATGGCTGAGAAAGTGAGTATATTGAGTGACTTGAATCGGCCTCTACAGGATTCTTTCGCCTTTAGTCCTAAGATCACCGGACTGCCTTTTTTGGACTATAAAGACAGTTCAGTTATCTACTGCAGTTGATTGATGTTACAATAGAAACAGAACAAAATCAATCCATACATTTTTTAGATTTAAAAATTATCAGACTTAAAAACAAACATGACTTCTCCATATTTCATAAACCTACCCATACTGACACAACTATACACAATTCAGCATCCCATCTCTCAAAACATAAACTGGCAGCCTATCATAGTATGTTACATAGATTAACAGTAATTCCGATGTCAAAATACAACTTTGAGACAGAATTAAATATCATTAAGCAAATAGCAGTAAACAATGGATACAACGAACAAACAATTAATAAAATGCTAAATCAAAAACTACACAAGAAAGCCCTGAAATTAGTATTTCCACCACAAGAGAAAAGTTTTCAGCGTTTTATTGTTACATAATATCTTATACTATTTTTTAACATTTTTTTAAATAAAAATTTATAATCAAAATTTTAGGTTTAGCTTCTAAAAAATCTAGATCAAGATCAGGTTCCGCTGCATCAAGAAGGTCTGGTTCTGCCGTTTCACATAAATCTGGATCTCATGTGTCTAGATCACGTTCAGGTTCAGCAGCTTCTAAAAGATCAAGATCAGGTTCTGTAGGCTCTAAGAGGTCAAGATCTGGTTCAGCAGCATCTAAAAGGTCCAGATCAGGCTCTGCTGCTTCTAAGCGATCAAGATCTGGTTCAGCAGCATCCAAAAGGTCTAGATCTGGATCTGCAGGTTCTAAAAGATCAAGATCCGGTTCAGCAGCTTCTAAAAGATCCAGGTCTGGTTCAGCAGGATCGAAAATATCTGGATCTAGAAGATCAAGATCAGGATCAGCAGCTTCTAAGAAGAGCCATAAATCAAGATCTAGGTCTCGTTCTGCAGGATCGAAAAGATCAGGATCACCAGCATCTAAAAAGAGCCATAAATCAAGATCTAGGTCTCGTTCTGTAGGATCGAAAAGATCAGAGTCTGTTTCTAGAAGATCGAGATCAGGATCAGCAGCATCTAAAAAGAGTCACAAATCAAGATCTAGATCCAGATCCAGGTAAAAGTTTTGATCAGAACATAAGTATATATTATTTTGTATAATTTGTATATTTTGTAGATCAAAATCAAAAGTTCGTAGTGGCTCAAATAGTCCGAATTTATTAATTGATGAAGGCGAGGGTGGCGAAAAACGTGAGAGAGACAGTTCCGAAGAGAGAGTAGTAACTAAAAAACGGAAAGCGGTTGTTTCAGACAGTGAAGATGAGGGAGGTGGCAAGGGTGAAACAGAAAAAGGTACAATTTACAAATTTTATTTCATATGTATATTAAAAGTAGCAATTATTTTTAGTTGACGCTGCCGACATTTTTGGTGATGCCGATGATATAAGTCTTAGTAGTGAGGATGAAAAGAGAGATGAAAGAATGGATTCAGATAGAGAAGATGACAGAGATGGAAGGAGATCTAGATCTGATGATGGTAGAAGATCCAGATCAGGTGACGAAGCAGATCAAAGACCAACTATTGCTGATGTAAAAATAATTTTTATGCTGCATATATTTTTCTAAACACATTCTTTTTAGGACGAAGATAAGGAAAATGAGCCTGAAATAATACCAGAAACTAGAATTGATGTCGAAGTTCCAAAAATAACCTGTGATTTAGGTAGAGATATACATTTTGTGAAACTGCCAAACTTTTTATCTGTAGAAACACGTCCTTTTGATCCCGAAACCTATGAAGATGAAATTGATGAAGAAGAAACGCTGGATGAAGAAGGTAGAGCAAGGTAATGCATAAAACTGTAATATTTTGTACTTTGTTCATTGGTTGAACGTGTAAAACTTAATTGTACAAATGCCCATTACTGTGTTTAGCAAAAGCAAAAAAATTTGATATCGACAGAAAGAGTATATATATAGGAAAATTTGCACCACTGAAAACTCGACCAATTAAAGCTATGTAACCATCTAAAGAAAAGGTTAGTGCTGAAAAATAAACAACTGATTAAAGAAGCAGGTATCAAGATCTTTACTGATAAAACCAACCAGCAATATGAGTATTATAAAAAAGTCCAAAATGAACTACAAAATCTTATTAACTCGGGTGACCATAGCAAAACTATTTAATATAATAATAATACACCCACCATTCAATAGACAAAAAACTAACACAGGCAAGCGTTAGGAAAAAAGACACACAATTGAATTAGAGGATGATATTGAAACTGTAGAAAGTTTTACATAATGAGAGTTACATTAAACAGGGATGGAACAGAACCAGAAATTCAAAGAAGAATAATAAAGGAAAACAAAGTTTACTTTTTGTTGTAAAAACAACATTTTATATTAATTTTAGTATAATTTTTAGTTCTCACAAATATTAGTTTGGATTTATGTTAAAGACTGTACTTTTTGCCTGCAAACTATTTGTGTCATAAATAGCTTATAAGGGTTGTTTAAAGTGGTAAAACCGACGCCGCTTTGTCGGCAATTAGGTAAAGATTCAATTCAAAATCTCTCGCAGATGTGACTAGAGTCTCAAACTGTGCGGTACCGCCGGTACCTAAGCTCTCTCTTCGCCGCCAAAATGCAGTGAAACGTGTATTTGTTTTTCTCGATAATTTCGCGCGCCCGAAAAACGCCGATAGAATAATGGACTATGTTTTAAAGCGAACTCTTTCATTAGTATTAGTGCTTGTGTAAATATTCTCTTGTTATTAAATGTGTAGATTCAATTAATTACGCTTATTTTTCTCTAAGTACAACCCCTATTAAATCAAACACATAAAGAACCAGCGCCGTGAAGTTCTGCTTGTATATATCGAAGGAAACACTCTTGTACAGTCCATGGTCCTAAAATATTTGGAACTGTACACGCACGGGGATTGTTAAAGGCTCCATCTTTAGCTAAAAGTAACTCAAAATCATTAAGAGAATTTTTAACTCTTTGCAAACAGACTTTACTCGCACTCAAGAATATGTCGGTACCAATCGAACATTGGGATTTATTGTTAATCGAAGTATTTTTACAAAAATTAGATTTCGCTACTCACCGGTCATTTGAATATGAAATAGGTTCAAAGGCTTTACCTACTCTCTCACAGTTTTTTTGTTTTCTTGAAAGAAAGTGTGATATCCATGAAAAATTAAACGTTTCTGATAATGATAGAAAATTTACTAAGCCTCAGTTAAAAACATCTTTGTTTTCATCAGTTAACTCACAAACAAACTCTTTTTCAGATACTAGTTGTATATGTTGCAAAAGTAATTCGCATAAAATTTATCAATGTAATGATTTTAAATGTCTCTCTTTACAGGAAAGATTTAATTTTGTAAAAGGTAAGAAACTTTGTTGGAATTGTTTGGGTAATAAACATTTTTCTCAAGATTGCAACTCTGCACGCTCATGTAGTATATGTAAGAAAAGACATCACTCGCTCTTGCATAGTACCCCTGAAAATGTCTCTTCCTCTAGGAGCACGAATAAGCAATATTTTCCGATTGATCGCAACGCTCAAGCTCCCAAACATTCTCAAGGTTCTTCCAGTCGTGTCGCCCATATACCTACTCCGCCTTATAGTGCTCATACCCAAAATGAAGCTTCTACCAGTTCGTTCAAACCTCCTTTAGAGGTACAAAATACTGCAGATTCTCACACAGCCACTTCTCTCTCTGCTTTATCAGTTAAAACTGATGTATTGTTGGCTACCGCTTTAGTGACAGTGTATTCTAAAGATGGCAGGCCTATGCATGCCAGAGCGCTCTTAGATAATGGGAGTCAACATTCATTTATTTCTCGTGATTTGGTTGAGAAGTTAAACCTCACGCCTTATTTTAAACAGTTACAGATATCAACCATATCCGAAAACACCTCATTGTCAAATCAAATGATTAACATAGAATTTTTCCCTATAATGTGAAGGATAGAAGTTTCAAAACCTCTTTTGCTGTACTTGATAGTATAACTTGCAGACTTCCTAAGCTACCCTAAATAGAAGCAAAATAAATGTTCCCCCTAATCTCACTCTCGCAGATCCCTCGTACTCTGTTCCCGGTAAAATTGATTTGCTTCTAGCTGGTGACATCTACAGCGAATTATTGACTGATGGATTCATACGTTTAGGAAAGAATCTTCCCATTCTTCAGAATACCCACTTGGGTTATGTTATTTTTGGTACTCTTCCCCCTCATGTCTTTCATCGTAGTTCACATTTGGCTATTTCTCAGTCAAATGTTTCTCTCCTTGTTCAGTCCGAATCCGAAGAGAATAATTTAGATAAATTAATTCAACAATTCTTCGAGATTGAAGAAGTTCCGCACGTTAGTAAATTAACCCCCGATGAGAAATTGGCTGAACAAATATTTAATAAGACCACTTGTATTTTACCTTCGGGTCGTTTTCAAGTAAATCTTCCACTTGTCTCCGAAAATGCGCATAAAAGATTAGGCGAATCTTTTAAAATGGCTCTAAAGAGATTTATTAATTTAGAAAATAGGCTCTTAAAAAATGAAAATACATACGCTCAATATAAGTCTTTCATTAGTGAATATCTTCTTCTCGAACATGCTAGAATAGTCCCTCTCTCTCTTACTAATGGAAACTTAGAAAATAAATATTTTCTCCCGCATCACTGTGTCTTAAAGGAAGAATCCTTAACAACCAAACTTAGGGTTGTTTTCGATGGTTCGATGAAAAGTTCTAGTGGTTATTCGCTAAATGATATCCTCCTCAAAGGTCCTACTCTTCAACCGGAACTTTTTGACATTTTGCTACGCTTTCGATTATATTCCTTTGTTTTCACAACGGATATACAAAAGATGTACAGACAGGTTAAAATTACTCCTGATCAAACCTTTCTATTAAACATACTTTGGCGTGACTCCCCGGAAAAAGATATTGAGTGCCTGGAACTGCAAACAGTTACATATGGAACTAAAAGCGCCAGTTTTCAGAGTACTCGCTGTTTAATGGAACTGGCAAATACTCATCAAACTGAGTATCCCCTGGCCAGTGACGCTCTTAAAAATAGTTGCTATATCGATGACATTCTCTATGGTGCTAATGATGAGCAAACTCTTCTCAAAGCTCATAAGGAAATAACTAGTTTGCTTGGAACAGCATGTATTTCGCTACATAAATGGTGTTCTAACTCGGACTTGTTTCTAAAAAATATTTCTTCTCTCTCTTCGAACTCTTCTTATGTCATAGCTCCAGATAATTGCTCTAATAAGGTTTTAGGTTTATGCTGGAATCCTGTTCTTGACACGTTTTCAATCTCTCTTCCAGATTTCACCTAAAGAACTCATATACTAAAAGAGAAGTACTGTCAATGATTGCCCAAATATTTGATCCTCAAGGTCTTATTAATCCCGTTACAGTTGTTGCTAAACTTATAATGCAAAAAATCTGGATTTCCAAAATCAGTTGGAACGATACCATTGACGCAGATACGTTACATGAATGGCTAAGTTTTATTAGCAGTCTCTCTCATTTTAAGGACTTAAGTATACCAAGATGTCTCTTTTTGAGTCAAGAAATCACTGGTGTTGAGGTTCACTCATTCTCAGATGCAAGTTTAAAGGCTTATGGAGCTTGTATCTACTTACGTGTGACCTATAAATCAGAACAGGTGTCTTGTTCCCTTCTAGCATCTAAGAGTCGCGTTGCTCCGCTAAAACCCTTGACCCTTCCAAGATTGGAACTCATGGGTGCGCTATTGTGTAGTAAACTCACAGCAAGGATTGCTAACATCGTTAAAGAAAAATTATCTCGATTAGACTCTATAAATATGTGGTCGGATTCAGAAATTGTTCTCGCTTGGCTTCGTTCGCATCCTTCTCGTTGGACCCAATTTGTAGCAAATAGGGTCGCACAAATTTTAGATAATTCCCCTGATGCTCACTGGAGGCACGTACGATCCAAAGAGAATCCTGCCGACATACTCTCCCGAGGAATGTTACCCTCTGAGATATTAAACTCTTCCTTGTGGTTTCATGGTCCTCCATTTTTAAATCAACTGCGTTTGGATTTATTAAAATACAACCCAAAGGGTTATACCTCCAAGTTGCCTGAAGAAAGGAAAGTCGTTCTTCATGCTCGAAATGATACAATAGATTTTTTCACCTCCCTTTTCTGATAGGTTCTCTAATTTTTCAAAGTTTGTAAGAACTTTAGCCTATATGTTTAGATTTGTTAATAATGCTAAACCGCTTTCTCGCAAGTTAACGGATACCCTTGAAGTCACCGAACTTCAAAACGCTGAACTTAAGATTATTAAAATGCTCCAGTATTACAACTTCTCGAGTGAGATTTCTGAGCTTAAGAAAGGTAAAACTCTAACTAATAAGTGTCTGTTACCCCTGAATCCCTTTTTGGATGAGAATGAAATGCTCCGGGTAGGAGGTCGCCTTGGAAACTCAGACGTTACCTTTGATCAAAGATACCCCCTTCTCCTTCCCTCAAAAAATCGTATAGTTCGTCTCATTCTTCACAGAGAGCATGTCAGACTTTGTCACTCAGGGCCTCAAAATACTCTGTCCCAAATTCGTCTCAAATATTGGCCTTTAAATGGACTACGGGAAGTCAAAAAGGTCATTCACCAATGTATGGTTTGTTTTAAGTTTCGTGCCAAACCCGCTACCCAGATTATGGCAGATTTGCCAAAAGAACGTTTAAATTCCTCTCGAGCATTCACTCATGTTGGATTAGATTTTGGCGGTCCCTTTCAGATAAAGGCTTCCAAACTTCGCAAGGCTCCTTTAATAAAATCGTATATTGCTCTTTTCGTTTGCTTGTCGACTCGAGCTGTTCATATTGAAGTCGTCTCTGGCCTCTCTACAGAGACGTTTATTCTCGCTCTAAAACGCGTTATTAGTCGTAGGGGCCTACCTCAGACAATATTCAGTGACAACGCTACGAACTTTCTTGGTGCTCGTAACCAGCTGTTTGAACTCTATAAGTTTTTAAAGGAAAAGGAAAGCTCCCGTTCTATTCAAGAATTTTTGGCCTCGTCCCATATTCGCTGGAAAACTATAGATCCTCGAGCCCCTCATCATGATGGTATTTGGGAAAGTGCTATTAAAAGCACAAAGCATCATATGCGTAGACTCTTGGGTAATCTTAAGCTTACTTTCGAAGAATTCACCACAGTCCTCGTTCAAATTGAAGCTGTGCTCAATTCCCAGCCTCTTTGCTCCCTTTCAAGTGACCCCTCTGATTTTACTTATCTCACTCATGGACACTTCTTGATTGGACAATCTCTCACCTCATTCCCTGAAAAAGAAGTGATCCACATTCCCGAAAACAGACTAAATTTATGGCAGCATTTGTCCAAACTCCAACAAGTGTTTTGGAAAAAATGGTCTATCGACTATTTGAACAGACTTCAAAATCGCCCCAAATGGTTTCTTCCGCATAAGAACCTAGAACCCAACGATCTTGTCTTGTTGATTGAAGACAACACTCCTCCTCTTTATTGGGTACTAGCAAGAGTGATTGAGGTCTGTCCAGGAAAGGATGGGAGAGTAAGAATTGCCTCGGTCAAAACTAAAGATGGAGTCTTCAAGCGCTCTATTACCAAATTGTGTCCTCTACCCAATGACGATTTAAATTAAGTTAGTATAAGATTAGAATTGTAGTGTATTTTCTCTTCCCCATGCTCTCTTGTCGTAATATTATCTGTTTATTTGTGTTAAAGCCAGCGCTTCAACGGGGGCGAGTATGTTGTAAAAACAACATTTTATATTAATTTTAGTATAATTTTTAGTTCTCACAAATATTAGTTTGGATTTATGTTAAAGACTGTACTTTTTGCCTGCAAACTATTTGTGTCATAAATAGCTTATAAGGGTTGTTTAAAGTGGTAAAACCGACGCCGCTTTGTCGGCAATTAGGTAAAGATTCAATTCAAAATCTCTCGCAGATGTGACTAGAGTCTCAAACTGTGCGGTACCGCCGGTACCTAAGCTCTCTCTTCGCCGCCAAAATGCAGTGAAACGTGTATTTGTTTTTCTCGATAATTTCGCGCGCCCGAAAAAACGCCGATAGAATAATGGACTATGTTTTAAAGCGAACTCTTTCATTAGTATTAGTGCTTGTGTAAATATTCTCTTGTTATTAAATGTGTAGATTCAATTAATTACGCTTATTTTTCTCTAAGTACAACCCCTATTAAATCAAACACATAAAGAACCAGCGCCGTGAAGTTCTGCTTGTATATATCGAAGGAAACACTCTTGTACAGTCCATGGTCCTAAAATATTTGGAACTGTACACGCACGGGGAAAGGAATTTAATAAGCTTTCCCCACAACAATTGGTGGAAATCGGAGAAAACTCCATCACTTTTCACTCGCCAATATGTTCCGCTCCAAAAATACACACTGGAGATCGAAAATCTACAAAGCTATAATCAGACCAATTGTATGTGATATAAGCGAGACATGGGTGATGACAGAAGACACAAAGCGAAAGCTGGAAGTCTTTGAAAGAAAAGTCCTAAGAAAGATATTTAGATTTATTAACGAAAACGGAGTATGGAGATCCAGGTACAACCGTGAACTTTACCAACCGTTCAAAGAGGCACCAATCTCAGAATTCGTTAAACTTCAGAGGCTTCGATGGGCTGGTTATGGGATGTCTTTTGACTGTAACACCACATTTCGAACGCTTCTATTTTTCTTATGTGTTGTTTCTTCAATGTCCAAGCTTCCATTCCGTAGAGTAAGATAGAAAATATGTAACATCTTAGAGTCCTCAATCTGAGATGCAACTGAAGGTCTCTGTTGGTAAGCATTGTCTTCATTTTCACAAATGCTTGCCATGCAGTTTCAATTCGGACTTTGATTTCTCTGCTTTGGTCATTTTTGCCATCAACCCAGGTTCCCAGATATTTGTATGTCTCTACTTTTTTTATTTGGGTTTGCTCTATCATTAATCTTTCATTCCCATGTTGCGTTTTTGAGACAATCATAAATTTAGTTTTTCTCTTATTTATTTTTAGTCCGTATCTAATGCAATAATCGTTAATTCTTTTTACCAATTCTTGTAGCGATTCCAGGGTGTCTGCCATTATAACGGTGTCATCAGCGAATCTTATGTTATTTACTATTCTTCCGTTTACAGAGATTCCATCACCCAGATATATGGTATATATCCAATATGTTACAAAGTGCTGTTTGGATTTAATTCTATTGTTACGTTATTAACACTGTGTTGTATAGTCCTACCAGAGATCTAAGAGAGTCATTAATATTTGGCAGCGGGGGATCGCCTCTGGACAGGATCGTACTTTTATTTTCGATTTGCATTACTTATTCGATTGTTACGTGATCATCATGATAGTCGACACGGGAGTCTTTAATGTTTTTGAATGACAAGGCTAAAACATTAGGTATACAACCATTTTTTTCCTGCATGAATTATTGTAATACGTTTTCCTTTATTTGATGAAGCTTTTGTATAGCGACAAGAAGAATCTGCCCAACTACATTTTGGAACGTCATGGGTGCCAAACCACGTCCCATCCATATAAACAATTTCTCTTCCACTTTCTCTGTATTTATGAATTTGAATTAAAAATTCCGTTCTCCATATTTGTAGACAAACAGATTCCATAATCAGTTGGCATTTATCGATCGTTTTTATTTTAAAGTTGTTTTTTAGAAGACATTGCCTTACTGTCTCACTGCAGCACTGATTCCGGTGTCATCTTTCTGTAACTTTTGCATGATGGTTTTTAACGTGGGAACCATCTGTTCTTCATACATGTTATACATTTTTCTTCTAATGATCTCCACTTCCCTCCGGTCAAGTTTCCGAAATATACCAGCATATTTTCTTTTTCTTCTACTTACTATCGGGTTTTTTGTTACTGATCACACTGTCTTCATTGGTCTTTGTGTTACGATTGCCGCTTCCTTCACCGCATTAAATTATTTACAGGTTCTGAAATTTGTATTTTTGATTGATCAGTGAGATAAAAAAATATATTGTAAATATGTGAATGTAGTATATGTAAATATTTTTGCATCTATCATAACTTTAGTAGACAATGATAAAGACCGGCTTTTAAACACACCTAACAATCGAATAAGTAATCCAAATCGAAAATAAAAGTATGAAATATTAATGACTTTCTTATATCTATGGTAGGACTTTACCTGTAAATTTTCGGTATGTTTCATATGCAGTGTAGGGTTAATATTTTAGAAAGTTCAATAATTTATCTGCTGGCTCAAATGCACTGTTTGTATAGCACGTTTTAAAACTTGGTTACATTTTGCAGGTTAAAACTAAAAGTAGAAAATACCATTAGATGGAGAGAATCAATGGACGATGAAGGAAATATGAAAAAAGAATCAAACGCTAGAATAGTAAGATGGTCTGATGGGTCTTACAGTTTACATTTAGGATCTGAAATTTTCGATGTATATAAACAACCATTACAGGTAGTTACTAAAGATATTCGTATGTATTCAACTTTTGTCATGTATTTATAAGACTACAAAATCATGTTTAACAACTTTTTTTAGGGAGATCACAATCACTTGTTTATTCGTCAAGGTACAGGTTTACAAGGTCAAGCAGTATTCCGAACAAAGTTGAGCTTTAGGCCGCATTCAACTGAGAGTTTCACTCACAGAAAGATGACTCTTTCTTTGGCTGATAGATCTACTAAAACAAGTGGTATTAAAATCATGTCACAAGTTGGTGTGGATCCTGATTTGGACAAAGCAACGAGAATAAAGGTATGTAATTTTAAATGCAAACATTTTTGCAGAATAATAATCGTATTTATCTTTCCTATTGATTTCTTTGTTTTTTCAGGTACATAAACTTTATTTGTTAAAAAAAAACGAAGAAATATTTTTCATTATAATTTCAATTCTTATAATGAAAATCATGAATGTGTTGCTTGTGTGAGTCCATATCAAATAGGTAAAGAAATAATAATAAGACTTACTCACAATCAATTTAATTTAACAATCTGACGACCGGTTTCGCTTTCTACAATTTGCAAAGCATCTTCAGGTCTAGATACAAAGTTAAACTAATGCTGCAATAAAATAAACCCAATTAGGGTGGTGTCTAATAAAGATAAAATAAACAAATAAGTTAGTTCATACAAATTCTAGTAATTATGCCATATTACATGTCTGGGTTTTCAAAATGAATAAATTTGAATATATAAAAGGTATTAACAGACAAGGTAAGACCCACAATTGGTATAAAGTAGTAATATATTGTAATAAATTAATAAATGAGCAGATAAATAAAACAAAACAAACATTACTTACATGCCGGTACTCTATTAATTGATGGATGGTAGGTCATGGTTGCAAAAATCATGTATTGTTGATTGGAGAACTTTAAAGTTTTCCAATCCATTTTGAAAACCACAGACATGTAATATTGGCATAATTACTAGAATTTGTATGAACTAACTTATTTGTTTATTTTATCTTTATTAGACACCACCCTAATTGGGTTTATTTTATTGCAGCATTAGTTTAACTTTGTATCTAGACCTGAAGATGCTTTGCAAATTGTAGAAAGCGAAACCGGTCGTCAGATTGTTAAATTAAATTGATTGTGAGTAAGTCTTATTATTATTTCTTTACCTATTTCTTATAATGAACTTTCGTTCTCTTGGATTGAATGATTAACTTGTTACTATCAGTTAAAAGACCTTATAGGACTAGTTCTGTTTTGTGCAAATTTTTAAAGCAAACTTCTTTTAAGGTTGATCTGCACCTCCCGAAAGACAAACTACACATTGAAAAAATTTGAAAAAATTGAGAAGATATATGTGATAACTAGAAGTATTTTGACAAATTTTGAGAAAACTTCGTTTTCGTTTTCGAAAAAACTCAAAAGAACTACTTTTTTCCAAGTATAAAGCGGGAAAACCAAACATACAATTTTGTTAATTTACTTACAGCATAAAGTTATAATACTAAGAAATACTTTTGAATTTTTTGAAAATTCAGTTTGAAAATTTGAAAGTAGAGTTTTGCCACAATATAAAAAATAATATGTTCCGACTTATAATAAAGCTACCGGTAAAAAAACGGACAAAATTTTAATAACAATACATACAAAACTGTAAAAGTGGAAAATATTTGCAATAAAACGTTGAATATTTATTCCTAAACATATGAAAAATCTCATATGTATAGGGGAGGACATGTGATACACAATAACGACAATCGCCTTATAAACAATGTGTTCTGGGAAAGGCCAAATGGAAGAAGGTATATAGGGCGGATTAGAAAAAGGTGGAAAGATGCAGTCAGAGAAGATGGGAGTGCGACAATGGGAATTACTGGCACAGGACCGACAAACATGGAAGGCAATAGTAAACGCGGCAAAGACTCACGAAGAGTTGTCGCGCCATTGATGATGATATGAAAAATCTCGTTAAACAAGAATTATATCTTGAACAGCCGCCATCAAATTGTATTGTAGAGAGATGGCTCCCTACGATAATAAACTAAATAATCTTTCTGGAAGAAGAATAGTCGATATCAGCTACTTTATAGTCAAAATGAGATCCTTAGAGAGTCATGAATGCTATGTAAAAAAACTGGATACTTGGCATTTGACAAAGAAGTAGCCATGGGTTTAAATTCTCAATTCTTTGACTATTGGAAAAGGATATCATTCAGTAGAGGAATGTTTATCAGTTTTGGATGTTCCAATAGGTTTTCACACATTTAATAAATACCAGCAAGAACTAGGAGAAACGTAGTAGCAATGTTTAACTAATGCGATTCAAGCAGCAGGGGAGGAAGAATGTCAGAAAGCTTTAGAAACCCAAAACGTGACACCAGGAGAAATTGGTTGTTGATAGTGGATGGAGTCACTGTTCGTATTGACATAAATACACGTTAAAATCTGGCGTAGCGTGCAATATTGGAGTTGATACAAAAAAAAACTACTTTTTGTAGGAATTCACAATAAGTATTGTGGTATATGTGATATTAATAAACGAAAACAAACTAACACCTACCTATATATTTTACAAAAATTCGACTGGATCATAACCAGCAATGGAGGCTGATATACTTATTGAAGACTTTTAAAAAAGTGAAAGTATACACAACCTTCATTGGTGATGGTGATTCAAGTGTCCACTCAAAAATTCTTGAAAAGGTTCCTTATTGCCGTAAAATAAGAAACATTGAATGTGCCAATTATTTAACAAAAAATATTACCAAACATTTTCATGAAAAGGCTAAAGAATCAGCTAGTAATAAAAAATATTAATCAACCTCTCTTATAAATTTTGAATGTGATCAATCATGTCTTTAGATATCATGAATGTTGTAAACAAGAATATTGCGTAAAACTAGCAATAGAGCAAAACAATTTATGCGACAAGTCGCAAAGTTTAATAACACCAAACATTTTACAGTCGTAGAAATAGTTTCAATATAAGATGTCAAGCTGCTGGTTTGACGTTATAAAATGGTCAAATACGGAATGGTCCAGTGTTACCGTTGGAGAAATATAAGCTTTAGTAAAAACCTTATTGTTTACTAGGAGAAGCCATATTAATCCTTAGTTTGTTATTATAGAAAGAAGAAGAAAAACTGAGGCAATCAGCATCCAAACCAAAAACTACTAGAAAGAAGTCAGACAAAGCTTCTAGAGCACTTGAAAATACTTTTGTTAGGGAGGAAGATGGTAGTGATGACGACGGGGCAATTTCTCTTGCGGCCATTAAAAGTAAATACAAAGGTGGAAGTACTGCACCAAAAGGTAAGTTTATACCTTGAATTAATGTCTTAAGCGATAAATTTACCATGGTTTGAATTAGAAAATGTTATTTTTATTTTGTGTCTAAATATATATCTTCTTAATCCTACATTGGTCGATAATTCCAATATAGTGCAGAATATCCAAAAAAGTTAATTAGAGAAAATGTAAGTAAGGATATTCTTCACGCTTGGATAATATGTAGAATTCTACAGGGTGTACGAACTATGTGGTAAAGCCATCATACAATTTTTATATAGGAATCCTTGTATATTTGTCATATCTAGATTCCTCTGATAATCCCTATTTTTACTGTTTAAAAATCGTCTTTTCTCTTCCTTGGTTCACTTCCAGCATATGTTGAAATTTCAGCAAGTTTTTATTACCACACCAGGATACTACACTGAAATCCAGATTGTCTATTTTATCTACCATATGACCTTTGCCTCGCTTTTTCATTTCATACTGTTAAAATTGTTATCTCAGCTAGACAAATACAATCACCCACTTGTTCTGTTTATATTTTCCGAAACATTTACGTTAAGCGTGAGTGAAATACTCATAGCGAGAGTTCTATCAAGTCAAAACAAAAACCAACTCTTACATTTTTAGTAATACATGTTTTGTTTTTTAGGCGGAGCTATTTATTCATCAGATGAAGACGGATCAGATTTTGAAAACAGCAGAACTAAGAAAAAGGGTACATCGGGCAAGGCTCTTAAAGATTCTGACGAAGAAGATAACGATAATGATAATGAAGAAGATGAAGATCATGACAGTGGAAGTGACGACGACGATGAATAGAATGTATTTAGTTTTTGTGTATTATTTTAATTATGGTGTAATATACCTAATTTAATTTTAATAAAACTTCTTAGTTTTCTTTTTTTATTTTCTAATAAACATATCCATTTCAAACAATATAAACTAAATTTATAAATAATTCTCAAAATAATATAAAAATGGAATTATACAAATTGTATATCTTACAATATCAAGTTTTATTTATTAAATGTATACGACATATACATTAAATAAATAAACAATTGTATAATGGATCAATCTTCCCCAGCAGGCATAGCATCCTCTAATCTTCTGATGAATTTTACTCTTATTTCTGTGTTTTGGTCACCTTTCAACTGGTCCTAAAACATATTGTTTAATCAAAATACACATTTTCACATTCATTAAAGTATTGAAATTTCAACAATAGCAAAAGCAATGGGTTGTATTTATGAAAAAAATCTTTGATATTTGACCAATGCTTTCCAGAAAAAAAATATAAATAAACAAAAAACTTAATAAATACTATAATACAAATGAAATAAATCAAAATAAAAATTCGCTTAGACCTTTTACTAATGTTAAGTAAAGTAGATGACCATTACAAAGATGAGTACAAACAAACAAAACGCCAATTTAATAAAATGCTTGTGAATTCACGAAAAATGAAGTATGGGCAAGAAATATATAATAGTCAAAATAAGTCAAAAAGTCTATGGAAAATCGTTAAAGAAATCACACAGGTAAATTCTATTGATAATAATGTAGCAATACTAGGAGATCCAGTCATGGTAAGTAATAGTTTTAATGAATATTTTTTAAATGCTGCTACACATCTTTTAGAAAATATACCAAAAATAGAATTCAGCACCAAAATATAGTTTAACAAGAACTCATCTTTTCTAACTTCAGTAACTATAAATGAAGTAATTGAATTAATTAGAAAATTGAAAAATAAATTCACTTCGGGTTATGATAGGATACCTACAAATATAATAAAACTGTGTGCATATGAGCTAGCTATAGCATTTTTCATATAAAAATGATTGCACATCACAATTTATATAAAGTGACGGCACTTATATTTAAAATTTCCAGAACGTCAATCTTAGAGTTCAAATTTTCATAACACAGCTGATAATATGAAACCCATACAGAACTGCTTGATCTTTTATAAGCGTCAACATGGTGTAATAATCAGAAAAATGTAATCATTATATTGGAAATTTTAGAATTATATTGATTAAATAACCAAAACATTTGTTATTATTAATAATATAAATTTTATGAAATAACTCTTGAAGTCTAATATTCCACAAAACAATAATTTTAATATATTAGACAATTGTACACAACTGATACTGAAATATATAAAATATTATTGACAGTTGAGCGGGTGGCAAAAGTGTATAAAGTGTTGCAGCTTTTTTAGAGTAGACATTTTGTTTGTTTTGATTTATGAATTGTATTTATAAATACATTTTAAATTTAGATTAATATCTTTAAAAACTATTTATTGTTGTGTATTGTGATATGCTAAAACAAATCAATATAATGGCAAAAACAAAAATAATGGCAGGACGTTTTTGTTATTAAAGCCCTAAAAGACATAAGTTTAAAATTTAGAATATATATTTTGTATTAAAATGTTTTCTTATGTATTTCAATGTGTTGCAGTAGTCTTAAAACTAAGTGTATTTACTGTTAATATAATAGTTAGTTAATCTAAGTGTAGACTAACAGCATCTGAGAAAACCACAGAATATCCCTGTATAAAATTCTTTAATAAACTGCCTTACAGCATCAAAATAGAAACTGACAAATAAATATAGAAAGTCTGTTGCTCATACACTTTTTTACAAAGTGGAAGAAATACCTTCAAGCTGACCTGCAGTGAGACTGAGGGCTCTTATCTGAATCTAAATGTCACTGTTATTATTATTATATTTTAATATTACTTTTATGTTAAGTGTAGGTTGTTTATTGTGTTGATTATTTTGTTATTCTGTGGCCTTTCTTCCTTTACCTTTACATTAAACTTACTAGCTTGAATAAATATGCACTTCTATAAAAAAATATTAATTTTCTTGCTACTCACCTGCACAATCCAACTCTGAACATCTAACTGTACCATTTCAAGGGCACCTCGAATAGCTCCACAAAGCAAATTACAATACTTTAATGATTTTAAATCATCAGGAAGCTCTACTAATTCGGTCAGAGGATTAGAATCAAGCATAAAAGAAAATTCATCACCAGAAGGACTCCAATTGGTTACATTAGGTTGTATTCCCAGATACATTTTAAAAGCACTCTGAATTTTATCAGCAGTATCTTTTAAATCCAAACATCTTCCAGTACCAGTCTTTGCCAGGAAATCTTCAATAAGTCTTATGCCCATGTTATAACCTAATCTTTCAAGCTGCTTTGAGACATCATCGACATTGTCCAAGTCTTTAATCATTTGGGCAACGAGAGCACCGTAAGTTAATGTCACTAACTCTGAATTCTAAAAAATACATACAATAGGAGGAGGATCAAAATAATGTAATCTACTACATACCACTTTTTTAACATCGAATCTAGTAGTTGAGCGGGACATTGTTAAATTTTATTTAAATTTATGTTAGTTAATTCAATAGCAAACGTTTTTCCAGAAGAGATTCTATAACAAGTAACAAACAATTAAAATTTGTAGAACTAACTATCATAAACACATAACCTATTAAATTAAACGTCAATGTCAATAGTGTCAACACTTAACGATTGATATTAAATATATGCAATATGTAATACAGTTGATGGTATTAAAAGTTAACTAACTTTAGTTAACAAATTCTAATTTGGGCTTGGGGATTTTCCAACCAAATCATATTGATAACATGTATCATTTTTTTTACGGTTAACGCTAAGTTTTAAAATCTGCACTTCTTTTTTATGTTTTAAAACATTTTGTAGCTCCCAGCTTGTAACATTTTTAAACAAAATTTTATTAGATAACTCTTGGGGTTGGCCAATGGAATGGACTTATTGTACATATTCCACTAACAGATAGAATACAAGTTCTTATATACATATAAGCCCTTCGACAGTATCAAATATACATTTTATTTGGCCATGGTATATTCGGGACTCTTCTATCAATTCGACATTGAATTTTTTAATAGCGACATTAAGTTCTGCCGAAGTTGTGTTACTGTGATGAAGATTCGTCTGTAGATGCTTGTTTGCTTTATATTTGGAAATATAGACTCAAAAAAGCCTCTTCTGAGCTATCTTCTCTTGTATCTGTCTTCATTTTATTCCTATGAGTTGAGACGAAATGTCAGCTCTCTGGGGTATCGCTTCGATAACACTTTTTCCTCTATGCTACGCCATCATCCCGTGGGTAAAATTTTGTTACATCTTAGAATTGGTGAACGTTGTTGTCGAAGCACAATCCTCGCTATATGCTGAGTCCGAGTTCTAATGCGACTGTCTGGCGAATTGTCAATTAAACAAGATGTAGGTGTAAAAGTGAGTGACATTTCGAATCGGTATTGCAAAGTTATATGTATCTGGAAGTATTTTCAAAGAATATAGACGCATATTGATACTTTGTCACTTTTATACCATCATAAAAATGTGTTGTCTATTCTAAAACCAACAGCTAAATCGTTTTACAGAGCAAATGGCTTCAATGAAGATGCTGTTAACGGGTTTTTCGATATCCTGGAGGCAGAGTTAAGAAAGTGTAACTATTTTCCTGACCACATATCCAATGTGAATGAGACGGTTTATCCTTCATACAAAATAATGTACCATAAGTTGTGGCTTTAAAGGTAAACGGCAAGTTGATGCCTTAAGTGCTGCCGGAAGAGTACATTGTGATTGTTGTATGGTAGTATGAACGCCAGTAGGACATTTGTTTTACCACCAATGATTTTCCCTATCAAAAAGATGACAGATGTCTTGAGGAAAGGTACCTTCTGATTCCATTGGAAGAGCCCATCCATTTGGTTGGATTTAAAAACATTTATTATTCACTGACTGAAAAAATTATATTTCATCGAAAAAGTTAATCCTACAAAGGAAAGTCCCGTTCTTTTTATCCTTGATGGACATAATAGGCATAATAAGAATATTAATGTTGTAGATATTGCAAGAGATAACCATAACAATAATTAGCTTACCATCCCATACCTCTCACAAAATGCAGCCACTAGACAAATCATTAATGCCTTCACTCAAAAATCATTATAGTGAAAATGTTAAGCATTCATAATGATAAACTACTTGGACCGTATAATATAGCTGAGTTGTTTGGAAAAGCCTATTTTAGTTGACAAAGTGGTCAAATAGCCATCCATGGTTTCGAAGTTTGTAGAATATTTCCATGCAACCGAAACATCTTTTCAGATGTGGACTTTGGTCTTTCTAATATAAAAGAGTTGAACATAGACAGAAGAAATATTTTGCGCCTCAAAAGGGCATTATTGATGGACGAGGTACCGGACCTAGGACTCACCCCAAGCCAATGGGAGTAAACAACAGCTTCAGAAGCTGTTTCGAGCATGTCATCCATGTCAATGAAAAAGGCAATGGTCTTACCAAGAGACATTTTACCTGTTCCAAAGAAAAAGAAAAGATTAACAAATAAAGGACTTAAATCAGCAAAAGCAGTAGTTATAACATCGTCACCATATAAATTAAATTTGCAAGAAGCTAAAAGAAAAAGTAAGGAAAAGGAAGCTGATAAACAAAGGAAGGTGAATTTCCGTGGAGAAAAAGAAGCAGATAAAAAGAGGTAAATGGAAGAAAGTAATGCAGTTTTAGAGAGAAAGAAAATTATAAAACAAGAGCAAGGTGATCATGGAAAGATGAAACAATGATCTAAAACACAGACCATAAAGGGAAAGCTCAACCTAGAACCATGCCCAGTTACCTCGGAGTAAGGATCAATAGACCCTGGAGAATCAATTTAAGAGTTACCAGTTGGAGTTGAGATCCTCACAAGTGAAGACGCTCCTTGTATCTCCTGTGATGAGTTGTATTCAAACGATAAGAAAGGAGAACTACGGGTTCAATGTTTATTGTGTGAAATGTGGGATCACAATGAGTGTGCTGGCTGCCCAACCGAACATTATATTTGCGATTTCTATAAATAAAATCTAAAATTAAATCAGTAGATAGACTATTTTTAAGAAATTTACATTTTAAAGTAAGAAATGAACTTAAAATACTGTTTAGACAATTACTAGTTTGATGTTTATGACATTTTAATTACTACACAACTAGTAATTTTCAAATTTTTTCATTTTGAACAGGACCGATCCTAAACAAAAAGGTCAGGATAGAAAGCAAAATTACATTATCCTGACTTCGACACCAATGAAAGATATCCTGCAAGATGCTAAAGAAAAAAGGGAGTTGAAGTAAAAAGCGACAGCAGTGAAACGAAATTTTACAGATTGTGAAAATAACAATAAATATTGGAAAAAAATAAAAAAAAATGTAACAAAACAGAAGGACCTTTATATCTGAAGACGAGATTTTTAAGAATAAAAAAACAAAGAAAATGAAGAAAATTATCAAACCAAAATTCGATTTTGATGAAACATCTTCAGAAGATTTTGATGATGACAAACTTTGTGATGATGATTCAAATGATGATATCTCCCTAACCACTGAGTTTGCCGATGAGGAGAAATATTTAATGTGTGGAGAATTTGGAGACACTGAACTTTGGTATCGCTGTACAGTTTGCTCGAAATGGGCTCATTCTCAATGCAGTGGAAAATACAGTGCCAAAAATTATGTTTGTGACTTCTGTGAATAGAATAGTAGGTTGTTTTTAGGTTATGTTTTCATTTAACATTCATTATACTGTTATTTTTTGATGTTTCCAAATAAAATTTCAATAAAGATATTTGCTTAGTACATGTTTTATAGAGAAGTCTTATCCATCATTTTAGTTCAGTAGGTGGCGCCATTACCCCCTAGGCCTGGAGCAATGCCGTTACACAAAAAGTGTTTCGTTTATTGTCGCTTAATCAAGGTGAATGAAACATTTCTGAAAAGTAATTTAAGTTATAAACTTAGTTCTTAGATCGCTAGCATAGTTACATATTTCTTTCATCTTAAAATTAAGTCACAAAAAATGATGATCTCTTAAGGTGACGCCATTACCCCACCCTCCATTACTCTTTTGTGATGTGTGGTATATCTTGATGAATTGGTAATTGTACATTGGCTACAATTTTCTGGAATTCTCTCGCTAATAATGCTGTACAGTAGATCTGGTGGAACAATATTACTCAAAATAAGAAGCCATCACACCAGAGTTGATTTTATTGTAGAATTTAATATAAAATAATTAGAAAAGCAGGAATTTACCAGTTTAGAATTTCTCATTCAGTTTCCTATGGCCCGTTTGACGATTCACCACCCGGTATAAACAAATACCTATATTAGAGACGTCTACATACATAATTTAACATGCAACCATCTCCCTAGTACATTTTCCTATGCACTCCTTATCAATTTCAGTTCTATTTCATACACAACAATATATTACATGTTCTTTTCAAACAGAATTCAAATTGTATTTTCTATTGTCTGCACTTCGCCACAGTTTCAAGAAAACGTTCCGCACTAGATATCAGGCATCGTATGTATGCAGATATGTATTTGCACCAATAATACGCAAATGAACATAAATTGTGTCATCATTGACACAATGGAAAGCATAAAGGGAGTATTTTTAGATGGGGATGAATTGATGACTAGATGTTCCATTTAATAACCGCTTCAAAATGTTAAAGAATATGTAAATGAAAGGAAAATATAGATTATTATTTCGTTCATTTCATTGTAAAAAGATAATAAAGGTAATATAAAATTTAGGCACAGTTCTGGAAAATATTTTCTTGTAGAAAAAAATCTATATTATTTATTATATTTAATGGACATAAAATACAACTTTAAGTTAGAATACGTTTTATGTGACATTTAGATTTCTACCTCGGAAATCAATACTATTTCTTTGAAGGCACAATTATGGTAAAACAATATCACTGCAGAATACTTTAATCCATTTATAAATCAACTTTAAGTATGATCATACTTACTTACTTAATCAGTAGACCCATTTGTACCTTTCGGTGTTGGGCCGTTTATAATACAATTCTTTATATTACAATATTTTATAATCTTCTGAGGTGTCCTAGCTCTTGACAAACTTTCTCCATTCCTTTCTATTGTATGCCATCTGAGTTGCTTCCTGCCAAGTCTTACCCTTACTCTGCAGTATCTGCGAGATGTCACTGTTCCATTCTTTAATGGATCTTACTCTTCTGTTCTTCTCTATTGGTTTGGCGTCCCACACTCTTTTTACTTGTCTATTATTATCTATCCGGGTTAGATGTCCGAACCATGCCAATTTTTTCTCCTTGATTGATTCTTCATTTCTGATTCTATCAGTTCTTTTTACTCCGATCGTTCTTCGGAGGTATTTCATTTCTGCTGCCTGAATTCTGCTTCGATGCCTTTTGTTTAGTATCCAATTTTCTGCTCCATATGTCACTGTAGGTCTATATATTGTTTTGTATATTGTCATCTTGGTCTTTGTTGATATTTCTTTGTTATTAAGGAATCCTCTATTTAGTGCTTGGAATAGTTTTTCTGTGTTTTCCATTCTATTGTTACGATCGTCCT